ATAATTAATTGAAAATCAAGATGTGTTTTGAGATTTACAACGTATTTCCTTATTTATTTCAAATTTATTTCAGTTTTCGTGAAGGCAATTTTTTTCGTTACACACTGTATATGGTTCCATTTCGGCACTACGTTCCTCGGCTTTCGAATTCAAATGCAACGTAAAAGACAAAACTGATGCACCGTTTTTTGGTCCACGAGTGGGAGTAGCGGCCTATTTGTATATTTTTGTTGTAATTTATTAGACTCCTCGATTAATGCCATGAAATAGTCTATTTTATTAAAGATTGCATTATTGATCATGAATACATGATAGGATGTTAGGATACTTCGTACTCAGTGCCAATTTTGATGTTTCGAACGAATATATATGTATGTGATTGAGCCATGTGATTTTATAATGCCCAAAAATATCATCGCACTATAACGCCAAACTGTATTTCGCGAAACTCACTGTCAAGTTTTCGTTTAATAACTGTTTTTCTTTGCGGAGAAATTTTTCTCTAACAGGGGTTAATTGATATTGAAAAACGAAAATGCATTATTTAAAGAACAACTTCATCATCACCAAACTCTAGCGATCGATTTATTAATAAAAGAATTTCAGCATTGAAGAATTAAAAGTGATAAAAATAGAAAGCGAAATTAAAACATGTACCAAAACCTGTCTTATGTGTTATGTAAAGGTCGTTCTAAGTACCAATATTAATTAACCTATTATATGTTGCTTCAAACTCAAATACTAAAGACAGCTCGAGCATATCATTACTATCATTATTACGCGTAGTTAACTTCAAAAGTCAAAAATTCGAAAAAACATCAATTTAACACAACTCATATATGCATAAAGACAATTTGATTTATGAAATGTAATAATAAAAGAAAGAGGTATTTTTACTTTGAAAAGGAAAAAAAATAATTCAAGTAAAATTCGAACTATCCCTTAAACGGTTTTTCGGCTATTGATAGCCGAAAATTTTTTTCTGATATAAAAAACTTTTTCTGAAGGTATTACTTCCTAATACGAAAATGATCTTTGAGATTCGGCTGTTTGATATGTGAATAAAAATTTGGTTGTTGTCCTTGTGGTTTTTGTAAAATCTTCTTTAAAAGTTGGTCGATTGACTATTTTTACTTTGCATATCGTTAAATTGGCCAATAAGAATGCAAGATCGTGATCAAAAAATCATTTCGCGTTACCATTAAAGAATACTCTGACCGTTTAAGAGATAACATTTGTAAACTCCCCATGATAATATTCTTCTTGCATCATTGCAATATACATATAATGATATAATAATTCTTTCTTTATTTATCCCCAGGACGCACATTTTTACATAATTTGGCATTATTGCTATTGGTATCAAGTTTTACTTACGCCAAGTGCTTTTAATTACATCAAGTGGTTTTACTTATGTCAAGGGCTTCTACTTTAGTCAAATCGTCAAAATGGCCTTTGTGAGAAACTACCTTTAGTAAATACTTTAGTTACGTCAATGACTAAAGTTAAAAGTTTCGTCCTACATCAATAGTAGATACGACATAAAAATAATTATCATTAAAAATTTACTGTATTTTTAACCACTTTCCTTCCAGGTTTTTCACTAGATCTAAGGAATGAATAAAATAGAAGCAGAAGCATATAATTTTCACCAAGGAATTTCTCACAAAGACTACAGATTATGCATGTACAATAATTAGGCATTGAACTTTTAAGAACAATTTGGTTGCATATGCCCAGATTTGATTTAAATTATTTGTGAATAAAAAAAAGAGCATCGTGTAACAATTGTTATCAGGAAATTTTAAATTAATTACCAATAAGAAATGGAAATTAGATTGATTGAAGTGGGTTAAAAAGGAATATGTGAACGGCAATATAAATAAAAATTAAAATTAAAAAATATTTTTTTTATTTATACATATTAAATTAAAAATTTTGATATATGACAAAGTTGATTGGTGTTTCTTTGGTAACCTCCACGTCTCTCTTTCTCTCTCTCCTAAAAATTTTTTTCTATTATAATTATAAATAAATAATTCTTTTTTAAATTTTAAATTAACAACGAGACGAGGTTTTAAAAGGGAGAGAGAAATAAAATATTATTGTATGTTCTTATGATATAAATTAAAATATGGATTTCGTATATGAGTTTTCAGAAATTATCAGAAAATATCGAAAAACAGAATCAAGTATTTTGGTAGCTGCAAGAACCCTAACATTAACGGTTTTGATTCTGTTAACAGTTGGATATTTGCTAATATTAGTGCTATTGGTTCTATGGGATAAGAGTGTAATAACAACAGAAATACAATATCAAGAAATATTGCCGATACCAGGTTTGAAATTCTTTTATCTCGATTCATTCATTGATTGTTGGTTGATTAATATTCATATAGATTTTTATTCAAAAATTTTATAGATTTTATGATATCTTTTAATTACCATTTTAGTCTTTCTTGTAAATTTAGATATCTTGGTAACTGTTTACTATTACTATTATTATTATGATTGCTATTATTATTATATTTTGAAAATTATTTACACAATTATTCCCTTCTTCTTATTCCACACTAGATGGAACTCAATCAGAAATAGATATATGTACAGAACGATGCATCACACAACCAAAATGTATGAATTCAACTGAAGATGGGCGATGGTATGGTCATTTCACAGTAAATCCTGATGAAGTAGATGTAAATTTTAATAAAACTGCTAAACGTTATGGAATTTGGGTTACAATAAACATTGATGATCCAAGATATACAAGAGGTGATGACAAAGGAATGTACCTGACTGCCTATGATTCAGATTTCAATCCACGTACAGTTGATATAGATAAAGAAAATATGGCATTAAAATATGATCCTGATTTTTATAACCAATTGAATCAATCAAATTTTCATATTATTGGCTTTCATCAGGTAAATATAAAAAATATAAAAAAAAAAGCATTACTGTTATATTTTGTTATTAATCATCAATAATAATAATAATAATAATAATAATAATAATTTAAAGGTTAATTGGATGTTTGTTAATAGACACATTAAACAAAAAATGATTCCAAATGGTTTAAATGTTTTAGGCGCACCAGCAAGTTATTTTGATATGCCATATATAACTACCAAGTATGGTTAGTAGTAGTAATAATAATAATAATAATAATAATAATGATTGATAATAAAATTATTTATATGGTTGATTAACAATAAGCCAACAAATTGATAAATTATAGAATCTGTAACAAATCCTGCAACAACACCAGAGTTTGATATTCAACCTGTCACAGGACCACAATTATATTCAAATTTATTTATTGGCACTTTAAATTGGTATCAAGAAATACATAAAGAGTCAAGGTAATGAATGAATTATTACTTTTCCATTTCCATTTCCATTTCTTTAATATTTATATTAATTTATATTTATTTTATATTTATTTCACATGATTAGGTCACGACGTGTAAGTGTTGATATTTTTTTCTGAAGATAAAAAACAAATGAATTAGTAAATACAAAATTGTATTTATTATGATTATTATTTTATAGGTATTAGACTCTCTTGGTTTGCTTACTGGATTTTATGGATTTTTAATGGGAATTTATATATTATTATTTGGTAAGTAATAAATGTATATAAGAAAGATTTTTTACAAGTAATTATCACAAATTAACAAAATCAAACCATTATAATATATGCTAATAGGGTTTGCACCAGTGTTACCATGGGGTGTGATACAAACATTTTTCATGAAAAGACAAATCAAAGAAAGTTTATATGAAATATATAAACATGGATTTATACCATTAATAGATGAAGTTCCTCAAGATGTTCCAATTGAAATACGTATTAAAGAACTTGAAAAATTCTTAAAGCAATTTATATGTGAGGTTGATTATATGGAAGATGTTAAAGTAGATGAAAGTGGTGAAAGTGGTGATGGTGATGAAAAGGGTGGGACTGAGTATAATGAAAAAGAGATTGATGGTGAAGCTGAGAATAATGAGAATGAAGAAAATATGTAGAATTATATACATATATACACATTATATATCATCAGCATTTTATAACTGTATTAATATATTAATTTATTTAGAAATTTAGAATTATCTTAATTTTGGATAACTCCAACTAATTTTGTGTATTATTATTATGTATATTTTATACATATAATATCATGTTGAGGCAGAGTTCATGACATCACACTTTATGGAAAAAACAAAAATAAGGCATAGTATGATTTAACAATTAAATACAACAATAAATTTAATTTATTATATTTTTATCATATATACATGACCATTTGTCATTAAAAAAATAGATATATTATTACATTGGCCTGTTGATAATTGCATTTATACCCACCCCTTAGCAAATAATCAAACCCATATATTCTTGAGGAATAATAAAGCCAAAGAAATATACCTTTTTATACACAGTCTTCTCTTCAGAATTAAATATTCTCGATGCATCATTGGGCCCATCAAATACTTTTCCCGACATTTCATAAAAAAAATTACTTGTAAACTTTTCATATTCAAAGTGAACATGAGCATCAGCAGAATAATAATCCAGGGTTAAATGAACTGGAATTCATTGTTGGCAATAGTCAAATATACCTACCCATTTTCCCAAATCTTTTACGATGTGTGTAAAATCTACAGATGTTAAAACAATTCAGCAGGTAGATTTTTGATTTTGCCTGTATATAAGTCCGAGATCCTGAGAAGCGGTGCCTACACAATAAAAAGAAGAAATTATATATGTTAAAAGAGGATATGATCTTGATACAAAAGATTTTGGATTGTGTCCAGAGGTTTAAAAAACCCTTCTCATCATCTAAAGTCACTTGTCGTAAATCATTGGGCTGGTAGCTACCATTGCTACCATTTGCCGTAAATAATTACGGCTGCCGCAAATAGATGCAGTTGCTGTAAATAGATACGACTACTTCAAATAACTACGACTGCTGGAAATAGTTTTCAATTATTTTCAGTAGCATTATTGTTCTGCAGTAACTGAATTTTTTTGGATTATAATTGATGAATTCAATTAGTCGGTCATTCATTTACAATGAACTTGTGTGTAAAAATAAAATTTGCAACCGCATCTATTTGTATTTATTTGCGGCAGCCATAAATATTTTATAATGGTAGTTACCATTGCCGCAAATAACCAATTGCCATCATTGTTTTTATTTCCCTTTGGAAATGATATGCACTGCTACTAAGGACAACTACAAAGGGTGAAGTGGAGGCACTATCACGAAAGGTAGGTGTGTATCATATTTACCCTTGATTTCTACTTATTATAAAGTTTTTATATAGTGATACAATCAAATAAAACAATAGCATATTTCTGTTATTATTTTGAATAAAAATTAACACTCATTCATTTTCGTTTGAATTGTTTAATGAAGAAAGGTGATAATTCTATAATCTTTTGTAGTTTAATAAATTGTGGATTTAGGGAATACATATATAAAAAGTTGTTGTTGTTGCCAAGAATTTCTCGAGTTTTTCAAATTTTGATGAAAATTTCGATTTTATAACTGGTTCAAATATTTTCAAAGAATACTTGAACTTTTGAACTGTTAATTGGTTGAATAACCAGTTGATTGTTTGAATAATAAATTATACGAGAAAAGCAGTGTTAGGACCAACGATCGATTTTGTCACATGTGATAAAACGAATGTCCACTATGCTGCTATCATGCGATAATTTTCATCTATAGGACAGAGGACTGATTGGGCAAAAATCCTTTAAGAAATGATTATACAAAACACTATTTTACAACTTTCCTCTTAACATCAGAGTCCAAATGCAATTTCAGGGCCACAAACCCTGCTCTGAATTGCAACCTTCTACACTTGTGGGATATTATAAAACTGTTAATTATGATCACATTACAAATGACTAAATTTTGACCCCATATTAATATAAAAATTTATAGTTTTACTATGTCACATAATTTGATCCTAGCCTGCCCAAAAATTATGTAAGAAAAGAACGAATTATAAGTAATACATAATATGCATTTTGAGCGAACCCATTTCTCTCGTAATTTTATAGGAAGAGATAATAGGAAGATGACTTGATATTATTGTAAAGAGAAAAAATTCTAGCTTCGAAATGATGTAATTTTTATTCTTCCTCCCAAAGTGGGAAAATCATAAGAGATAATATACCAATCCTACAAACTGTTATAGATAGAGGCGGGGAAAATTTATTCATTTTACATACACATACTCACTCATGCACACACTCTAAATCCAATCTTCAACTTAAATTTAAAAAAGAAAACTCCACTTTATTCATAAATTTTCGATTCAATCGATTCAAATCCTCATTACAATAAATAATACCTAGACTGTCTCCACTCTGGTTCAATTAAATTTTTTTTACACATGAACACTTATAAGGAGAACTTTCCCGGGTTAGTATTCACCTCTCATTTTTTAATTTGTGGCAGGATATGTCAAACCACAACTAGCTAGTATTAGTATATACTATCACTATAGGATCCTTTCCTCGTTTAGTGTAACCCAGTAAAAGCCAATAAAATTAAATTAAATAATTAATAATAATAACAACAACAACAACAATCATGAATAGTCATAATAGCGGAAATAACAACAACGACGATTCTAACAATAAATTTCATTATAACCGTAGCTATAATAATAATAACCCTAAAAGAATATCTTTACCGAATCAAGATTCAAGTCAATGCACTTCTAGTGGAAATAAAAATTATTTTCCAAATAAATTAGAAAACAATAACAACGATACCTCACAATCGTCAAAATCAATTATTACAAGTCATAAATCTCCATCCACGCCACAAAATGCACTGTATGTAATTAAGTTATTCATTTTGCTCAAATATATTTTTATTATTAATTATAACTTTTCCAATTTTATATAGGAAATATTTAATACCTAATCTAGATTTCATTCCTATTAACAAAATAACATCAGAAGAAATAAAAGAGTTAGGAAAATATCATCCTATGATGAGTCCTGTTAAGAAAAGAAAATTTGATCATTTTGAAGCAGTAAATAGTTGGAGAAAGCCTAACGTCAGTGAACTTCCATGGATGAAAGACAATGATTGTAATAGAAAATATGATAATGTAGTACACAGGTAATGTGTGTGTATGTGTAATTTATTTATCGAATATTTAACAATTAAAAAGTAATAAATGACATGAAAAGATGTACAATTGATTTAATTGATCATTATTTTGTTAGGATGCATTTTGAATTAAATGATCTAATAGAGTACCTTTCTCCAACCGAGATTGAAAGATCATTAAGAATATTTGTAATTAAAAGAATTGAAGCTGCTATCAAATCTAAATTCAGTGATTCTGAAGTTTTCATATTTGGAAGTTTTAATTCTGGAATCTATCTTCCCACAAGGTAAAAATTTTTTTCCCCTGTAATTTTAAACAAACAAACAAACAATTGATTGATTGATTGATTTGATCTTTAATAGTGATATTGATATTGTCGTTTTTGGTCATGTAAGTTCGTTAACGCCACTCTCTCAACTGGCTGATTATTTAGAAATCAAAGGATATTCTTATGGCAGGCCCACAGTAATACGTGGGGCAGTGGTATGTATCTATATTATAATTTTAATTGCTAATTGATAAATATTTATTTAATGTATTATTTTTTCTGATTGTTTAAAATAATATTTAGGTTCCTATTATCAAATTCAAAGAAAAATACACTGAAATTAACATTGACATATCATTTAATCAGAGATCTGTTTTTGCATCTGTTAGCACTATAAAGGGATATCTTAGAGAATGGCCTATTCTTGGTAGATTGCTATTGGTTTTAAAATATTTTTTAAAACACCATAATCTTGATGACCCATCAAATGGTGGAATGGGCGGCTATACTTTGTTCTGTATGATATTAAATTTTCTACAGGTATTTTATAACAATAACAATTTTAGTAGAAATTAAGCAAGTTACACACATATATATATTAATTGTTTATTTATAAAATATCAAGTTACACCCACGTATTGCTGATGGTACTTTAAAGATAGACAGTAATGATAACCTTGGTGTTCTTTTGATAGAATTTTTTGAATTATATGGAAATCAGTTCAATTATAAAGATCTGGCAATCACAATAAGAAATGGCGGAAGCTATTGTAGAAAGGTAATAAATTAATGTAAATTGACATGTGTTCATACATTAAATTGTAATAATATACACATTTTTTATTTTAGATAATGATTTATTTATTAAAATCTATTTTTTTTCTTTATATCATAGTACTATCAAAGTTGGGCAGTTAAAATTCCAGAAACAAATTTATGTATACAAGACCCATCAGATCCTGGTATTATTATTATTTAATTATATCATTACAATTACTAATAACAAATATAAATGATGATATTAGAGCCATCTAACCCACACCATTATATTGTATATATTAAGATAATGATATAGCACGTGCAACAAGAAAGATAGAATTGATTCAGGAAGCATTTAACCGAGCGTTCCTACGACTTGTTAATAGAGTGGGACAACTTGAAAAAGTACATAGACCGATTGGTGCTAATTATGTCACGGGGTTTGATAATAAATCAATTCTTTCATCTATTTTATTTATTTCTGAAGATATGCAATCATTAAGAAGAAATTTATTACGAGAGTATAATGAAAATGGATTGAAACGATTGGTTCTAAAAACAAGCAATAATCTAGGAACACTACTAACAACTTATGATTATGAATTTATTGTCGAAAAATTTGCAAAGGAAATCGAAGAGTCAGACTATCGTCGTAACTTTAGAGTCAACTCTTTATTGAGAAGACGTAAACCAGCAAGATTTAAGTCATTTCCAAAATATCAAGATAGGGATGACTATTATCTTGAGGATTTATATGATTAGAATTGAAAGGTGGTTCAATAGATGGATGACATATACTATTTGTAATTTGCTATTATTATTTCTTTTATTATTTCTTAAAAAAAAAAAAAATAAAGGTATTTATGTGTGTGGTGTGTTTATGTATTATCGTATAATTATTTTTTTTTCACTATTTACAATTTATTTTTTTAGAATTCACTAGCCGGAAGAAAGTATCCGAATAAGGGTTTTCAATAATAATAATTAGGTAAAATACCACATAATAAAACCACATACAATTTACATCATTAGATAGCTTGTGTTTTTTAACTTTTGCGTATTAATTAAAAACCCCATATAAATTTCGATATTAAATCTCAATAAAATTGATTGGATCAAAAAAAAATTACCGTGAGGTTTTAGAAATAAGGAAAATACTTTAAATACTTATTACAGTTATGATGATATATGAATAAAGTTAACTTTTAAAAATTAACACAATTTGGCGTAGGAAATGTAGATTACCAATTAATCGTCCACCCTTGTATCCCGATGAATATTAAGGATTTAACGTCATATTTAAAGGCTTTATTGTGCAGGAAATGCAGGTTCAGAAATTATTACCAATTTACATTCTAAAATGGTATTTGCTTATTCCTTACAATAACTTCTAAAATCACATTGTCCCGAGAAAAAGACCGCCTTTCCGTTACCATTATTATAGTGAAAAAGGCATAAAAAATACAGAAAGAACTGTGAAAATTTTTTTTTAATATAGCCAGTTTTAGCAAAATAAGTGATATAAATCGAGTTATCACATGCAAATATGCAAGTAACTTCTTTTTCTTTCTATAATTTTCTCGTTAGTTTTTGTGCGTGAACTATTTAAAGAAAGAGATTTACATTACAACAAATTCCAGAGTTGGGGCTGAGTTGACATTATTAAATAAAGTTTCGAAGATGGAATATTTATCGTGTAACCAAAATTTTCGCGCCTTTACTTTGTTAATAAATCAATGTTTACTTTTAAAGGTGTGACTAATTAGTTTTAATGTTATAAATTGAGACTATTTACATATTTTTTTTTTAAAAATAAAAGATAAATTTTCAAAATGACAAGATTGTTTTATGAACCAAAAAAAATATATCAAAGGAAAAAGGAACCTCGTGTTTTAATTTGCATGAGGATTTCATGTTTATCAATTTCCATGATAATATTAATAGCATATTCTGTTTTTTTAATATATTCTAATGGAATTGCCATTACGAGTGTGACAATACCTAAACCATATATACCAGTACCAGGTATATATATATATATATATACACACACACACACATTTCTTGATTAAACGTTTTAATTCCTTATTCCAAGGTTAATAATAATTACTTGGATCGTTTAGATTTAATAATAACTGCGAAGTTTAGTTTTTCAATGGATTGTCAATTTCGATATCTTGGTAATTTAACAATATTGATTGATGATTTAGGAAAAGAATTTTTTTTTGTAATCGAAATCTTAAAATTATTTTATTTATTTTGTTTATTAGATAACAGAATAATATCTCAAACAGACAAGGATTTATGTTTAAATTATATAGTGCCAACAATATGTGACGAACCTGATCCTAATGATTTATCGAAGAGTCGATGTATAGGAAAATTCCAAGTTCCAACTGAACTTCTGGATGCACCTATAACTGAAAGATTAAATTTTAGTTTACCTGATAAACGTTATGGCATTCAATTTTTAATCAATATCACTGATGCTGAATATAATCCAAAATATGATAATGGTATTGTAATTAAAGCCTACGATCAAGGTAACTTTTTTTTGCTTAGTAATTTTATACTATTATCATATTAACTTAAAAAAATTTTTAAATATAGAATTTAATCCACACAGATTACCTGAAGCGGTGGGTAATCTCGTAAATAAACTTGATCCTTATTTTATTGAGAGACTTGATAGTCTCAACTTTCATATAATGACATATCATCAGGTATTATTAATGCAATAAATATTACACACATATTATTTTAATCGATTTATTAATTAGTTCAATTTATTTATTTATAAAGATAAATAGTATATATATTGATAGGAAGACAAGAGAATTTCTTATAACGTCATTTTGGGAAATGCTCGGTTTACCTCCATATTATTTCCTTCAACCTTATATTGATTCTAGAATTGGTTAGTGGGTAACAATTAATAGTTAACCAATTTAATTTTAATGATAAAAAAAAATTTCTTTTATTGAATTTATTTGTTTTTTTTTCTTTAAATAAAATTAGAATATATAAGAATACCAAGTATAATAGATCAATTTGCAACCAGTAATTATGGTATTTTATTTGTTGGTACTTTGAATTGGATTGAAACAATAGAAAGTGATCTTAGGTGTTTGTTTTTGATATTTAATATAAATTTTTTTAAATTTGAAATTCTTTAACATTGATTTTTTAACACTGATTTTTTTCTACTTTGATATAGAATTTATAATGTAAATAAACATATTATTACATATATAATATATATATTTTCTCATTTCATTTCAAAATAATCAACAATTAATTTTATTATATTTTCTGTTATTGCTATTTATATAAAGAATCTGGATTCAATCGCATTAATATCATTATTTTATTCATTATTAACTGGAGTTTATACTTTTCTATTTGGTAATTTTTATACATAAATATTGTTGTAAATGGTTTTTTTGTTGCTTTCGAAAATATAATTACTTACATAATATGTTTATATATATATATATGATACAGGTTGGTCTGCAATAGTGCCTTGGGGAATATGTCAAAGGTCATGTTGTTCCAGCGGATCAAAAGCAAAACTATGCAAAAAATTTGAATCAAGAGGTATACCGCTTATGCCATCAACAACTCCAGATAAAGATGTCAGTGGTTTAATGGAATTTTTGGGACCAATATTACTAAGATCAACGAATTCAATTAAAAAAGATGAAGAGAATGACACTCCTAATTCTTCAACTACTAAAATTTCTTTACCACCGACTGAAGATAAGAATAGGTTAAGTCTGTGTAGTATGTATAATTTTTAAAGATGAGAATGGTAATTTGATAAGTCCTGAAAATATTGACCCTAACGATATTCAAATTATTCAATATTTTATTTGAAAATAAAATCATAACTGAAAATATGATTGTGTTAAAATGTACAATCTTTTTAATTAATTAAATGTTTATTATGTTAATGTAAATTCTATTAATATTTTACAAAACTATAATTCTAAAGAGTTTTTAAGTTGAATTTTTTACTATGAGGCTTTGTAATATTATTAAACATGTAAAATGCTGTTGCCATCACCATCATCATCACCATCACCATCACCATCACCATCACCATCACCATCACCATCACCATCACCATCACCATCACCATCACCATCATCATCATTATTTATTATGAAATTTCCTTCAAAATTATTAGAATTTTCATAATTTGGTGGAGATGTTTGAAAAGTAGAAAGATAATCAGGTGCAAAATTATTATTATTATTTTCATCATTATCGTTGATGTTGTTGTGATCATAATTGATTTTGTCATATTGAGGCAAATCATCATAAGCTTTAAAAGATGATAAAGTTATTGGTATATCAATTTTAGTACTTATTTTCTTCTTTTTAACTTTTTCACCTATTCCAAAATCTGGTAATGATCTTGTTAAAAAGAATTGTTTGTTGTGTTCATTATTATCATCGTCGTCATCGTCATCATTATCGTCTACGTTAATGGTGATATTATTATTATTATTATTATTATTACTATCATCACCATCGTCAATATTAAAGTTGGAAGGAACTTTTATTGTGTAGATGAATTTCAAATTGTGTATTATTGAGATTGAAGTTGTTTCGCATGACGAATGAATTTTTTTTGAAGGTTTTGGTAAAATAAATGAAATATTTTTATGATAAATAAATTTATTATCGTTGATCACTTTATCTAAATTTTCGATCTTCAGAGTTTTTAAAACTTTTGAATCTTGATTCGTGTGGCCTTTTGATCTGCGAATACAAGTTTCTGTCAATTGTACCTTTAACTCGACAAAATCTAAATGTTTAACTTTTGGTATTAATTTCAAATGCATTTCTATGGGCTGACCAATGGAATATACTTTTTTCGGCATCATGATTTCGTAACCAAATAAATTTTTCCAATCACTAGAAGTGACAATACCTTCAGAATTCATTTCTTCGGATATAGAAGCACGCATTATGGGTACTTGTTGTGTCACATGTATATTTGGCAATAACCCTGGTCTAAAGAGTGTCGCGCTCAATTTATAAGAGACACTTGCTAATTCAGTATCTATTGTTTCTGGCGAATCACCGGGTATAAACAATTCAAAAGGAAAGGTGTAAATGTTAGGTTGAAGAATGGTATAACATTTTGAAGATAATTTTCGAATGATATTTAAACGTGAATTTAATTGTTGTCCTTGTTGCAAAGGTGGTGGTGATGATGATGGCGATGATGGCGATGATGGGTGAACGGACGATTGATAAGATAAGAATGTCCAATTTTTTGATATTAATTCACATTCTTCACATAGATCATTATTATTCGTAGAGCCTAATAAATTATTTAATAAACTGTTAATAAATTATTATCATTACTATTATTATTGTTATAGGTGGAAAACAATAAAAAGATTTATTCGGAAAATTTAATTACTAATACTAACCATAATAGACTCTACCCTCTGGCCAAAAAGTTTTCGATTTACCGTTAAATTTCAAATCTAATTTTTTTATTTTGGTTGGTTTGTCTAAAATTAATATTAGTTCGCCCCTTAAAAAGCAACCTAATGATTCTTGAGGATTTCCGCGTAGAAAAAGTGCTGGCTCCATTAATTTAATTTTTAGACAAGTAGAAGAAGAAAATAATGATTTTGAATTATTCCTTTGTGGAATGCTATCATTATTTGATATAAATGAAGAAAATGAGGTTCTTGTAGAAATACTTTGTGGAGACATGATATGTATGTGTGTTACGAGATAAATTTTTTTAAAAAAATCAAAAAAAAAAAATCAAAAAGTTCTAAAATTTATACCACTCCAAAAAATTATGACGCAATTACATAATCGATACGATACCAACTAAAATTGGAAACGCCTTTACTATTACTTAATATTACTTAAGCCAAACAAAGCTCAGATCCGAAATTATTTTATTTAATTGTAAAATTATTTCCCGTTGGAAATTATTATACAAAAAGGAATATTTATTTATATTGATGTTGAATTATCTGTATTATTTGTTTTGTATAATTAAAGTTACTAGATCATATCTGACATATAAGTTATCCGATATCGAATGCACTATGACAAACAATGTTCAAATTTGGCTAGCACGTGGATAAATTAAATTATTTACTTGCAGTGCAAGGATCTCTTGACTCTAGAATTATGCATAATAAAAATTATTTTTCCAAATTAGTAAAAGTTTGAAAATTATAAAATGAATGGTAACAACGAATTTGGTCTTTTAAACTGTTTGTAGTACATGACAAATTTTGTATTAATAGATTAATATGAATAATGAACCGACACCAATTGTTTTATTTTATTTTCCTTTTATTATTTAGATAGATGATATACTTATCAAATTAAGATATAAATCGATTTTTTTTTTTATGGGTGGAATTATCGATCGAATCTAATGTTAAATATGTATTTTACTACGTAGTTCACGAGAAATTTGGCAGCGAAAATTCTGGTTAGATTTGGAAAAATAATCTCTAAATTTGGTCAAATTAAGGTTACATATCAATAATAACAATGTCGCTTTTTCCAATTTTTTTACACATGGAATTAAAAGGGAACTCGGCACACATGATCACATGTATTCTATTTTTGGAAGTTCCCTTTAAAATTAATTTGGCAGTGTGGCGAGGTTCAGCACTTCTATGAAGGCTAATAAAATATAAAATTTACAAGAAAAATATACGTTCCAAGGTCTTCTTCATTTTAAAAGACAATAAATAAAATCTCACGGATGTACATATATTAATGCGTTTTTATTAATATTGTGACTAAATACTCATAATTGCTTATTTTTTTTTTATATATATAGAACTGCGACCAAGTACAGTGAAAGGACAAAATTAAAAATCACGCGAAATGATCATTTGTTTGAGAATTGTTATTCGCACCCCTCCCGTGACCAAGTCAAAGATGAACCAATAAAATTATCACATTTTAAAGCCATTCATTGGTCACATTACTACACTTAGTCACGGGAGGGGTACGAATAACAATTCCCTAAAAATATGGTACAAATAAACATGACGCCAAGTCATTCCAACGAATACGATTTTATGAGGAGTTGTGCATTGTAAATTTTTTTTATGTATTGTCACGTCGTTAAAAAATAAATAAAAATATCGGCCGCGTAACTCAAATGAGCTCTTGCTAACTATTTACTCATATGTTAAGTCAAGTTTAGTCAAGTTTAGTCAAGTTTAATCAAGACAAAATTATTATATATATACTAATTAAGATTTAATCCCTTCACCAGCCCTGACAAATACCCGCATCAGTCCCATACATGTAACCAGTAGTATTACTTGTTTTATCACTGTTATGCCCATTGTTAGCTATGATCGTCATTATAACGTGTTATTAACAAGTATAGATTTCTAAATTTGGTCTCAAGCAGTTGTAAAAAATTTATCACGTTATATATATATGCATTATCAGAAAATTTGAAATGTTATGCTTGGCTCACTACCAGATTTTTTATGTTACATTGAATCGCTACAAGTTTATCTATAGTTAATCTTCAAGGTTTTTCTATTACTGTAAATAGAAAATAAGCGAAACTGAAAAATACCTACGTCTCAAAAAAATTTGCAAAGTTTCTTTTGTTATTATTATTATAATTATTGTTCAGAAAGAATCATACAATTATCATTTATTGTCATATAATAACAATAGCGATGGTGTATTGATTATTCAAAAAAATTTTGTCCAACAAATATAAAGTAAAATAATTTTTTCTTTATGATATTTATTGTTCAGTTAAAACTTGTTTGTTACAACATTTTACAACATGTGGGTAGGGATCAATTAAATTTTTCTTTTATTTTTCATATCCAACAAACATCATGTTTTGAAATATTATTCGAAATGAATACATGACAATGTCCCAAAAATTTTGATTATTTTGTCATGATTATTTTTTAATTATTGAGTAAATCAATCCATCCGTATTCATGTTTTTGGGGAAATTTTTTTCCATTGAAAATATTTCTTTTGGAAATATAAAATAATTCTTTTAATGAATATATAATGTTAGAAAATAATTCCTTTAATGAAAATAAAAATTCAAAGAATACAACAAATACTAACAAATCATTCACCTGGTCCAAGTAACTGGACAAGTGGTGTTAGTAGAAATCGTAATCATAAAAGTACAGTTTTAGATCAAATTTAGATCAATTATATAATTATGGAACAATAACTAACAATGATGTAGATTTTATATCTTCATATTATGAAGACATGAATGATGAAAAATATTTGAAGATGATTAATAAATTATTAAAAAGTTAATTAATTAGAGAACAAATTAAATATACAAGATTCTACCAGAGAATCAAAATGTCAATCACAATCAATTAATCAAAACTACAACTTAATTAGTAACTTTGCCATGATCTCTTCCATTACCCTGCATTCTTCTCAAGAGCATTTAAAACAATCGCTACAATTAACAACGCATCTCCTGACACTGAACCTGGTAATAATTCAGAATAATTCAAATATGCAATTCAGAAGTTGCACCTATTGTCAATGTATCAAATGACGGTGATGATAATGATGATAATGATAATAATATTAACGTCATTTCATTGACTTATTGACTTTATTTCAATAACAACAATAATGATTATGATAAAAATTACAACAAATGGTTCATATCTATATAGTAACAGCAACACCGATAATAATGATAATAATAACAATAATAGTATCAATAATTCATCAAAGTCTCAAGATAAATATGCATACTATTTAAAATTACCCTACAACTTCAACATTAAATTTACTAATGGTTGATATATCATCGCAACACGTATCCTTAATTGTAATAAAACAAAATGATAAAATTATTATGATTTGTTTTATGGAATGTAAGCATACGCGTTTAGGATTATGAAACATTGAAGTTTAAAGGATTTTTTAAAGTTTGCCTTCAAGTTTGAAGTTTGTTCTAAACATTATATTCTTGGATAAATTTTTGACATATACTTCAACAAATCAGACAAAATGAACATTATGTTATAAATAAAAAGCAATCTCAAGGATCAAATTTAGTGTATTCGGCAAATTATAATAATAATAATATTTATCGATCCAATCTTTTTTTAATATTGAACATATACTCCCTTTCATAAGGGTAATAGAATGTTTTCATATGCAATTCTATATGGCTTGATTTTATCAAGAAAATCATCTGAAGATATTTCCGTAAATTTTATCAGTGAAAGTTACCTTGTAATATATTTTTTAAATTTTTTAATTCATCATCGTTCCGCTTTTATTCTTCACAATTTTCAATTTTATCCTATTCCCCATTGAATTGAATTCTTTTAAATTTAAATCATCTCTTCCTAATATAGAGGTAAGCGTTGATTTTCCATTGTTGAATTATTGTTAGGTTAATTTGTTGCAGTAGGTTAAACCAGTGTTGAGGCCAAGAAATTATTTGGCTGGCCAAGTGCCAACTACGAGCTAAAAAATTGAAATTTTGAATAAAATTTAAATTTTGGTGAAACCATTCATTTTTTCCTCTGATTGGATGTTTTTTGCAAATAATGAATTGGCTTGCAAACCAGCAATTCATCGCAAACTTAATCGATTATTAAGCAATTTTAGCGTGCCCCTTGCCTTTCTCCTGCATATTAACACTCGCCCACAAGGAGTTCAACAACGATATCTGCATCCAAGTTCAACTCATCAAACTTCTTCATTATAAAACAACTAATGAAAAGTCATAAATATACAGTATTAATGATAAGTATTTATCAGTAATAATAATAATACTTCATACTTTAGGATATTTTGGAGAGATGTTTTCCTTCTTAAATAAAAAAATACCATCGTCTGATCTTTTCCATCGATAAAGCTGAACTAAAATATGAAGACCTTGCTTTTAAAATTGTTGAATGGGTTTTAAAAGTTCTAACATCATCATCTTCTCCAACTTTGATTTCAAAATCAAGTCCAACATCAACAGTGGAAATATCATTTGCTTTGTCTCTTGAAGCTCGATTATCCCATGATAATTTTATTTTATGATCTTGAAGAATTAAAGTACCGTGATACCATTATATGCATTTTCAGCACCATTTATATCTTCAAATTCCACAAAAGCATGTCTAAAATCAATCAAACACTTGTGAATAAATGTCTTATTAAATTTTGACAATAAAATCAAAAATCAAAAACATAAATTACATCAAACAAAACCATACCTTTCAAATATACAAGTCGCATCATTTCCACAAAATGCATAAGATGTATTATCCACTCTGAATGAACATAAAGTTTCCCTCCTTTTTTTATTAACGACAGATTGAATAATGATGATGATATTATAATGAAATAGCTCATTAATCATAAATGAGTATTTACCTCGGAGCTAAGGAATGCCTTCTTTTCCTTTTACTATTATTTCTTCTATTATAATGATAATCAAAAAAGTTTAAAGAGACAAGTATGTAAATAGAAGATATAATAGAAGAAGCCAACTTTTTGTAAAAAAAAATTTTTCAACCTGAGAAACTCCAGCTCTAAAAGAAAATCATTCCAAGTTTAGGATAGATATTGTTAGCTCTAACTGATTTTTTGTGATTCACATAATTATGTGATAAACACAAAATCTGAAATTGCATCATTAAAGAACTCAGGAAATTTGAAAAATTAAATTTAAGCAAACCTGCGTTGAATGTAAGCAATGTTTAATAAGCAACAATTTAATTCAAATGATGTAGAAATGATTTTTGGTTGCTAAAACTAGAGTAGAGCTAAATATTAAAATCTGGTCATCGAAATTATTTCTAGCTAGCTAGAACTACAGCAAGATCAAATGTTAATATGATCGAAATTACTTTTAGCTACAATTGAGTATGAGCGAACAATATCTGGACATCGAAATCACTTCTAATAGGCTAGAGCTATAGTGGAACCAATATGTTTTTTATTATAAAAACAAACAATGGATATGTGGAGAGAGATGGAGAAAAAATAACAAGAGAATGTTAAAATAAGCAAATTCATATTTAACTGGAGAGAATTAGTTAACACTAGAGAATCTTTGAGGATTTTCTCATTAATCAATCCAATAATTTAAAAAACACATACGGTACTGCAAAAAATGGACCTAAATTACTCAAAAGCTCTTGGCAATGCGAATTTCTGCCAGAAGGAAATATATATTTCGTAAGGGTTTTTCAAACATGGCAGAAAGAATTTCATAGATCGTTTTCTATCATGTGATGTGGGAGCAGTTTTTGGATGTGGAGGATATATAGATTTTTACGTGTATAAACTGGACTGGGCAATAGAGATGGATGGTAATGATATAGCTAAGCATCATAGAAGGTTTGAACCTACAGAAGAATGTAAAGATATTGTTAGATAGGCAAAGGGTGCAGCTATCATTGATATTCGTAGTGAATCAAAAAAAAAGGTTCGAGAAAGATTTCATATATTAATGTGTCACACTCCCAAAACTATGATATTAATATAGAGGACACTGTGTGACTATTAGATTTACATAAATAAAATTCATTTAACAAAATTCGCAAATCGCCAATTTCAAGTATATTAATATTAACATTAATATAAATTTTTTCGATTATAAAATGTGCAAAGTTTTCATTGATATTGATATAAATAACTAGCCATGTAATAAAGTAGTGGGTATTTAAAGGGAGGAAACACTCGAGCCCTAACCCATAAAATGACTGTTCCTTTCCACTACTCCATACCACCTATCCATAAACCAATCTCTATTATAAAGATTTTACCGTTGCCTGCCTAATAACCCTCCAAGTGAACGAATATGCATTAACGCATCTCATCGAAGGTATAACTTTTTTCGGTCCTAGCTATCAAAGATTTGTTTAAAGTGATTCTAGATAGTTCAGTCTAAGCCTGTAATCAAAAAAATCATCAAATTTATATCTTGGTGATGTGGGGTGAGTCGGTAGTATACTCGAATTCCCAATTCTTACGATTACACCCACTAATTATAATCAGTGTGGCTAAGAACTAGCGAAGAATTAGGAGAATTATAAGAAGCTTCGCTTTGTTGATACTGTTCAGTTATTTGGACAATTACGTAGCGTTATTGTGATAGATCCGTTAATTGATTCAAATTCGGATTAAATGCTACCAAAATTATTATCAATTTAGTATCACGTGGAAAATCAATCCCAAATTTTATACAAATAGCATTTCGCTGATCAGTTTATACTTTTTTTGTAATAAAAAAATGGAGCAAAAGTGCATCTTTTTACAAATAGTGCTCGTCTTTTCACTCTTATTCTCAATAACAACATCAGAAATGGTAGATCCTTATCGCTACTATGGCAAGGCAAATATGACCGAAGAAGAAAAAAGACAGCTAATAATTAAACTTCCAAATGAACCAATACCCATAGGGTATACTAGCTTAAGGGACATCTTGCCCAGGGAAAAAGATTTAACTATTTTCATGGATTATGTTTATTTGTTTGGTGATATAGTAATGTATTATTATCATCATTATTATCATTTTTGGAATGAGATTATTATAAATAATAAATGGTTGCGATTTATTAATCTTTTTTAGGTTGAAATGTTAGGAAACCCCAATGAAACATTTACAATTTTTGCACCTACTAATTCAGTGTTTCGTAACCTACCATACCAACCTACAAGTAACATTTCTGTAACAGAGGATCCAACGACAAAATTACATAATTTTGTGTTAGGACATATTGTTGAAAAAAACTTGATCTCGCTTTCTGTTGGTGAAGAATTACAGACAATGTATGAAAATGTTAAAATCAAAGTTGACAAAGATATCAAGGATGAAAAATACTTGTTGAATGGAAATATACACACTAGCGAGAATTATAAGGCTGATAATGGAATATTTTATAAGGTTGATGGATTATTAGTTAAAGAGTATTGAAATTTATCTTTAGAAGAAATTAGTTCTTATAATTTGAAATCATCTCTTTAAAAACAATTTAATGGCTTGCTAAATTTGATTTTAAAATTAATTATATTAATATGAGACAATGATCACATGATTGTAATAATAATTACAATTTATTCACAATAAATAATTTTAAAAATTACCCCTCTCTGCATTGAGAATTTATATATAGTACAACCAGGAAAAATTATTATTAATATCAAATATTTTATAGCAAAACTTTGATTAATTATTAATTCATATATTAACAAAGCCAATAACAAGGATATTTAAAAGCACTTAAAAACCTCAAAGCGTTTTTCTTCAATGTCCCTTAACTACTCCACAATGTTTCTATGGATGAGACTAGTATCAAGGAAGTTAGAATTATCCTCAAAGAGACGGATCTTGACAATTACATTTAATAAAGCGATATAATGTGCAGACTTATTTATTATAACCTTGCTAAGATCAAAAATAACTAATGATTTACATAAAATTTGGTAATAATTCTCAATAGGCAAGCCACAAAGCAAGTCTATTTTTTTGAAATTCACCGTCCACATATTTAATCGGAAAATGTCCACACTAGGTTCATAGTAAGTAATAATGACAATATTGAAACCAAAGAAATAACAATTCATTGTTGATAAGAAACACTAGGCAATTTTTATTCGTAGCAGCATACAAGTTTACTAAATTATTATTTAATAATATAAAAAAAACAAACACATGCTTTCTTCAGGATCTTCCCATATTGTAAAAGGAATTTTATTGCCTATTGTTGCTTGTAGTGAGTATATTATCATCAAAACAATTTGTAAAAGATGTGTAGTGGTGGATGGAAATGGCCAAGCAACATTTCCAAAAGAGTTGTTTTCGTCATCAGGCACCGAATTTGGTGTCAATGTAAGATTATCATCACTTGAATCGTCATATATCACGTTAATATATTTGAACTCTGTCATCAATGTTAAATCACTTCCTGAACAAAAACCAAGCTAGATTATACTTCCATATTCCATTATGTATTATTAGATTGGACATGTTGCATTATTTTATTATTATTATTATTATTACTACTACTGATATTATTATCATGGCTAGTATTATGGTGCTATTATCACTGCTGCTATTATTATTACTTGTACTATTACTATTATTACTTATATTGGTACCACTATTGTTATTATTACATAACTTTGGATTTACAATTAATTGGCTGGTTCATATTTTTTCATGATATCGGTCATTTCATCTGCCTCATATTCAAGTATTTCAAAAGCTGCTTTGGATATCTAAAACATTCTCCACTTGTAGGAAGTTAAAAGTTGATCATCATTGTCGTGACGTCTTTTAATTTTTTTTGCTTGATATAGAAAGAAATTAATGAATTTTCGTCAAGTATTGAAGAAAGTGAATAGTTTCTTTTTTCTTCCTAATTAGCCACCACACCATTATCACCAGCTTCATAAAGCCTTTATTGATGACAAGTGGTGGATAATTGGATGGATCATCATCTAAACTAGTAAGCTGATATGAAGGAGGTAAATTAGAAGAACTGCTGAACATCGTTGCTATTTTTGTAGGTGTTGTTGAAACCAAAATTGAGTATTTCTATTGTTGATACTCTGTTAACTACTCGTGACGTGTAAATGGTGAGATGCGCACAGAGAAAAATAAATCAATCGATAAAAGTACTTATATGCAAAAATTATTTACCCTGTTTAATTAACATGTGGTTATATTTTAATAGTTTGAAATTTTTTCTTACAAGCTTAAAATAAAAAAAAATAAAAATCATGAAAACTATTTGTATCAATAATTTATAACTATTATTACTATTATTATCAATTAGGTTTATAAAATTGATATTATTCGAAAAATAATTTGGTGGTTCAATTTATCAGTGTGCTTGTCTTTTATGAAGTGAAAAGGCTAGATCGGATTCGCAATTCATATTGCAAATCTTACATCTAATGAAGGATCTTGAAACAACTTGTCCTGTTGTTGAAGTAAATTGCATGGTAACTGATTCGCCAATACCGTTAAAATTGATAGGGTTAAAAAAAGGACTAAAATTATTGATGGGGTTAAAATTATTGATATGATTATTGTGAGGAAGACTACCACTATTGGTGTAAGTATTATTGTTATTATTGAGTCCTGGTGAATTAATATTTGGAATTGCGTGTGGATTCTGTGTCTGATTGTTTGTTTGATTACTATGTTGTACTTTATTTAATGGACCTTGATTTTTGATTTTTGATTTTTTTTTTTTGCCTTTCTTTTGCTTGAATGTTAGTGGAACATGTCTTATTTCATCCTCCTGAATACCTTTCATATTATGAACAAGCCTTTTATGTCTACTAAACGAATATCTATTATGATTGACTTCTTTACATCCAGGACAAGTGATTAGAATTGGGTGATAAGCTTCTGGATGATTGGAATCTATATGATTGCTTAATTCTAATAGTGAAGAAAAAGACGCATTGCACATTTCACAAGGAAATTGCGGATATATTTCAATGATATTATTGGATTGATTAATAGTTTCTTTGCCTTTAGTTGATGTAGTAATGATGTTTTTTATATTTTGATTATGAATATTGCTATTACTATTGTCACTGATGTCATTTTCTTGTTTTTTATTTTGGATTTGGATTTGGATTTGAATATTACTATTATTATTATTAATGCTGATTTCTTTTATATCTTGAACTTTGTCATTAATCGTACTCGTGCTCATACCCATACCCATATCATTGTCATTAATAATATTCATACTCGTACTCATATCATTGTCATTGCTATCATTGTCAATTTCCCTCTCCTCCCACTCATCATCATCATCAATAATTATAAGATTTCTATCTTTGTCTCCTTTTTTAATTTCATCAATGCCATTACCATTATCATCTCTATCATCACTGTTGTCTTCAAATTTAGCAATTGTAAATTTATTTTCATTAGAATCAGTCTTGATTTTTTAATATATTATAAATATAATCATTACCATTACCATTACGCCTTTTTGGTTTTCTTTTTGCTTTCTTATTAGTATTATTAGGAGCATTCAAATGTGCTGATTTAACATGTAGAAGAAGTGAATCCTGACTTTTTAATCTTCTTGAGCAAATCAAACATCTTACATTATCCATTATGATTTCCTATCATCAAGAACAAAAAATCGAATTTAGATTTGAATAATTGACTAATTATTTTTTTTTTTTAGATTTATTTACCTCGTTTATATTTTACTCGAAAAAATTTTTGTTACTAGTATTGATTGGTATTAGAATCAGGAGTGTTAGATAAATATAATAATAATTTCAAACCATTTCACACAAAACGATCGAAAGTGATCGACACTTAATCAATGAATGATTTTTAATATTAAAAATACAGAATTGTTATTCGCACCCCTCCCGTGACTAAGACAAAGATGAACCAATAAAATCATCACATTTTAAAGCCATTCATTGGTCACATTACTACACTTAGTCACGGGAGGGGTGCGAATAACAATTCCCTAAAAATATATATTATGACTGTTGTTATTTTTTACTAATGAATTAAAGAAGTACAATAATATGCTAAGACTTTGTTATAAAGATCCTGTGGTTCTCAATTTCTTTAAAGGTCATTGATTTTTTTTTTATTATAAATTTTAAATTACTTTTAAAATAATAGGATTGTCAACAACCAAGAAAGAAAGATACATAACAAATTAATTTCACAAAAACTTTCATTTCCAAGAAATATCGCCCTTATTTTCATGAAGGAAGTGCTATTAAAAATGGACGCCCAGATGCGAAGAATTTATTGAACGTTTTCCATTCAATTGGGATATCGAACTGAAATAATAAAGGTCTTGTACATCAAATTGTTTTATTTCTTCCATTTCTCAGAATGTTATTACTTGATAAATTGAAATTTGTAGTGATGTTAAGTGAGGATATTTTTTACCTATCTTTTTCAATGTCTAATTAATATCTTGTAATTTTATATTAATAACGTAATAATATACAAAATATTGAAGTAATAAAGAAACTCTTTTGCTGGTAAAGAAATAAAAGGCTAGTCTTCATACTAACCTTATATAATTCTTTTATTTTCCTGCGACATACAAAATTTAGTAAAAGCACATAGTCATTCCAATATTCTGGACTATTATCATTACAACTAGACATCTTTTTGATCCGATTAGTATAGCATTCCTTGGATCATTTGAGATATTGTTAGTTACAGTATTCATTTTTTTTATACTAGTTTGTCTTAATGAGTGTTGTGGTTTAAATCAATATTTCTTCTTGCTGAATATTCTGCAAACATTATTGATTGTGTTAAAATGGCCAATTTATTATGCATATTTATGCTGGTATTCTTTTTAACAAGACATCTGGTGACTTTCTGGTTACTTCAACAACGTCAACTCAATGTTTACTATGCGAAGTATTAGATCTAAATCAAATGAGATAATGGGTGAAATGATGGATAAAATGGATATATATAATGATGATGATTTTGTTGAATTTACATCAGTTTTCCTTATTTCTGGACAACTTCGTCACAAAAAGTATACTATTAAATCATTTATATAACAAAAATTAAAATAAAAAGAATTGATAATAAATCACATTCCCGATATAAATATATCCATATTCATAACAACAACAGACATATAAAGGAACTATCTTCAAAAAAATTACGAATAACCGGAATAATAATGATATCACATCTATCACTATTGACAACAAAATTAACCAAGAAAGATAAATCTTATGCAGAAAAGTTATTATTATCGCTGGTGACTAGTTCTTCCGGTCCCTTGTTTGAAAAGTTGCATCCTTTCTTTTTCTATTCTTACCAAATGTATTACTGCCCTCCAAATTCATGTTCATTTCTTGCTTTTTTTTTCATTTTCAATTTTGTAATTTGTAGATGATTCTCTTCAAAGATTTTTTTTCATGTAAAAAATAAAGCTAATATTTTATTTATTTTATTACCTTTTATTCATAGTAAGTATTGCGTACTTGTGGCTTTCCAGACACCAAATTTTATTTAGAAAATATTGGGAAATTATGAGGGTTTTGTAACACATACATTCTCAACTATGTTCTTATTAGATAGTGAACAGTTAGTATTAGATGGTTACAATTACGAAAATTCTCTGCAAACCCGTGGATGTTGTTTAAACATTCTATATAGTCTTCCTCTTTTATAAATATAATAAATTTATAGCTGCTAATGATCCTATTTCATTGTTCGCAGAATGAATATTGTGAAGATATAAATTTCTTCTACGTTCGAACTTTACAACAATAGATTAATTAAAGGCCAATGACAAAGAAAATAAAGTTATGACGAATTTTAAAACTGAATATGTGAAATTCATAAGGCAAAAAGGCGTGGTTATTTGACTGTGGAACGACTTTTACTTAGCATGCGAGGTATATTTATTTATGTAGCGTAAAAAAAAAGTAAAATCAAAAAATCAATCATGTCATAAGGATGATGTGTCTTTTTGTGTTTTTTAAAGATGAAACTAAAAGTGCAAAAATGTGTTTCTTTGATGAATTCTAAAAGTCCGACGAATTCCGATTGGTTGTCTGCTGAAATATATTTGACAGCAGAATAACTTTTACTTGGTGGCATGCGAGGCTTGTTTTTTTAAATTATTCGACAATTGAACAGTCGGTTACCAAAAAAATAATTCATAAAAATAAAATAAAATAAAATCCTCTTTTATTTAATAAGGAAAAACATCTGATATTGATGTTTAAATGTATCAATCATTTTCCTATATTATTCTGTTTAAAATATTACTTTTCTCGCTGAGAACATGGCTAGTTTGTCTTCAAGTGAACACCACCCACCACCCATTAAAGTCAAGCAGGCAAAAGTGTTGAAAGTGATAAAAGCAATCAAGAAGAGCCAGTAAAAATTTGTTCAGCCGGTAAAGAATGCGGTGCTGATTTTGCTGATAATGACTCTACTTGAAATCAAATAAATATTAGTATGTTAATATCTTACTGGTCGACAATAATAGTTAGCATCAATAGAAACTAGAGAAACGTATTAGTATCTTTGACATTTTTGTGAGTTTGTTATTGTAACCCAAAAATTGAATCCATTATTGTTATTTTCCTTGGTTTAACAACAATAATATCAAAAATTTCCTCATCATCAAGATTAATAATTTGTTAATTATTTTCAAAATTTGATTTTTTGTTTTATTCTGGGTCACTCCAATTATAGAGCCAGCGATTAAGTGACTTGCATTATATTACCAGTCAAATGATATGTCACAGGAAGTGTAATTATTAATATATTATAAAAACAAAAAGTTGATGTGTAACTTATTATTTTTACTATTTAAATTCTTGTCTATCTGGAGAATCATTACCTCATAACTCTGAGAATAGAATGATCTGTGTTCGTTTGTTTATATATATAATAAAAAAATAATGATAGTTAAATAGTAATAATAAAAAAGATTGACGGACGATTTATTTATTATTGTTATTATTATTAGAATTTTTTTTTTTGTGACAAAATTTTATTCTAAAAACGTAGATCATATCAATATTACTTTATTACATATTGTGGTTAAAAATAGAAGTTGATCCAAAATTTAATTGACGATCCATTCGGTCTGAGATTTTATAAATATATAATTAAAGTAAATCGTGTAATTTATGGCGTTTCCCTCGCCGGAAAAACTGGTAAAATAAAATCTTTGACCCCTGAAAATTCTTTTGACATCGTACACTTTTATATGATATTAATATTAATATAATATTTTCCTAAATTATTAATTAAAAAAAAAAAAACTTGTATTAATCGTTTTAAAAAATTTTACCAATTTAATTTCAACTCAAGATCTTCTACAAAAGTTAATAAAAGTAGTATTGCTCTAGTTTTCATACATTTATATTTTTGGTTGAAAGTTTTAATTATAACTTTTTATGTCCTCGATCCAAAATCTTAACACTTACGGTAATAAATATATTAATATTTTTAAGGCAGCTACTTTATTTAACCTTACTAAACTTAACTACCTTTGTGACTATAGACCCTTTTGCTGACACTGGTGAAGAAGACGCAGGACAACCAGCTGGGTATATTCGTAAGTTTACTAATTTTTCTTGTAGATACATAATTTTTCGCATGTTGGCTTTAATAAATATTGTTATTAATAGATATTCGTATACAACAAAGAAGCGGAAGAAAAACTTTGACAACTGTTCAAGGCCTTCCTAGCGAATATGATCAGAAAAAATTGTTAAAAGCTTTTAAAAAGGTTTATATGAAAACTGAGAGAAATATATAATTGTGATGTTTAATAATTGCTAATATGAATATTTCATTTTTAATTAATCCCAGGAATTTGCTTGTAATGGAACATTGGTCCAAGACGAAGAACTTGGCCAAGTAATTCAACTTCAAGGAGATCAACGTCTGAAAGTTCAGAATTTCCTTGCTGAAGAAGGAATTGATAAAAAAATCATTAAAATTCATGGTTTCTAAGAGCAATTCTCGCTTATTTTTATATAGCCATGTTAAAATACATAAATATATTTTGTTTTTCTTTTTCTTATAGAGTTATATATATATTTATTATTATTAATAAAAAAATAGTTAATATTAAAGATTAATATAATATGTGAACAAAAAGTTTTTTTTAAATAAATGGGGAAAATAAAGTTAATAAACAAAAGATAATAATAATCCAACAAAACAGATCAGAAGAGAATCCAAGTGAGTCGCCTAAAATTAATTAATTAAAATTTAAAATGTTAATAAACATTTCATCAAAAATAATCATTTTAAAAATCATTTAGAAAAAAGAAAAACATTGACTAAAGCACAAAAAAAAGAATTATGTGAAAAAAAGAGAGATAATCCAAATATTAAAGGAATTGATCTTGCCCAAGAGTATGAAATATCTACACAATCTGTTTCTGATATATTGAGGCAATCTTCTCAATGGTTAAATTATGATGCAAGTTCTTCAAGTACTAGTCATCTATATAGAAATAGAACTTCTGATTATCCTGATATTGAAGAGGCGACAAGAATCTAGGTTGACCAACTCTTGGCTAGAGATTTAACATTGAGTGGTCCTATTATTCAAGAAAAAGCGAGAGAATTTGCTAATATTTTTGGAATTAATAATTTTAATGCTTCTTCAGGATGGTTAGCTAAATTTAAAAACAGAAATAATTTGCATAGTTATAAAAAAAGAGGTGAATCAATGAGTGCTCCTATTCAAGAAATTGCTGACATGCAGCTTCAACTTCAAGAAATCTTACAAGAATATAGTCCCAATAATATATGGAATTGTGATGAGACTGCATTATTCTGGAGGCTAGAGCCTAATAGGACAATTGCTCATGCACCAGTTCTAGGAAGAAAACGTCCTAAAGGTCGTATAACTGCTATGCTTACTTGCAGTTCAACCGGAGAAAAGCTTCCTGTCCTTTTTATTCATAAACACGAAATCCAAGACCTTTGAGAGGAATTGGAAAAAATTCACTTCCAGTTTGGTATTATTGGAACACTAAAGCATGGATGCAAAGAAGCATCTTTAAACATTACCTGGAAAGGTTTAATAGTAAGATGGTTAGACAAAATAGAAATATAATTTTGCTCTTAGATAATGCAAGTTCTCACAATGCCAAAAATATACCTACTTTATCAAACATTAAAGTTCATTTTCTCCCTCCTAATACTACATCTATTCTACAACCCTTAGATCAAGGGATAATTTATAGTTTGAAGGTAATTAATTAATTAATTGAGTCTATTTTTTTATTTTGATATAATATAAATTAATTTTCAAATTTTTTTAGTCAAATATAGAAAAATTCTTTGTGTGAACAGAATTAGAGCATACCAAGAAGCAGCAGAGAATAATAATAATGAAGTACCTCAAATCAATATTTTTGATGCAATCAATTTTGTTTCTGATGCTTGGAATCAAGCAACAACTGAAATAATTAAAAATAGTTGGAAAAAAACTAATATAATAATTAATCAAAATACAACTGATCTGATGGTTGAAGATCAATCAGAAATAAATGAAATAAACAGTTTGATCACTCAACTTCCCTTTCAAGATCGTCTAAATGCCAATGAATATGTTACGATTGACCAAAATCTTCTTGTTCAAGAAGAAATGACAACACAAGAAATTGTAAATATTGTAAAAAGACAAAGTGAAGTTGATGACGATGAAACAAATGAAACAAATGAACCTGAGCTGATGATCACTAATACAGAAGCTATAAAAGCTCTGGAAACAGTACTTAAATATGTAGAGCAAAAAAATTTAGATATTGATTTTCAAGTTATTAGAAATGTCAGAAGATTAAAAAGTGAAATTTCTTACAAAAATTCTCAAGAACAAGTGCAAACAAGAATGGAAGATTATTATAATGTCAACGTTGAATGAAGTTTTTTTTTTAATTTTTCACCACTGTATTTTTATTATTATTATTATATTATTTGCATTCATTATTTAAAAATAAAATTATTTTTAACGTAACATGTATCACATGATTTAATCAAAAATCCGGATATCTCGGTATAGCAGATGACTTGGTATAGCGGATAAATTTCTTGGAACGAACATATCCATTATACTGAGACTCACTGTGTATAAAAAAATTGAAAAAAATTGTGAAAATCCATTCTTTATATAGGACAGTCTCTCCTGTTTTAGTAGAGTTCAGTTACACAATATATCATATGGCAAAAAAATCACACAACCACAATTTTTAAGGTTTGAACAAATAAAACTTTTTTGTAAAATTGCGAAACTTAAATGAAACTTTGTATATATACTCTCTGGGATTAAAACTATTGAACAATGTGCTTTTAATAACATTTGTTAATAAAGCTTTACTAAAAAGGTTCAACATATGTTATGAATTCTATAAGTAAAGTTACGAATTCTTGTCCTCTACTATATGTTTTGTTAAAGTAAGGAAAACTAAATGAACAGTCTTCAAGTTAACCTTAATAGCTATTGATTTATAAAAAAAAATTAGAATTTTATAAGAAGACGAGGTTGTTACTAATAATATTTCATTTTTATATTATATATATATATATATATGTATGTATGTATGTATGTATGTATGTATGTATGTATGTATGTATGTATAGTAATAAATAGAAATGAGACTACCTTGGCATGAATCATTACTAGATTTTAACACCAATTACAAATTCTTTACATGAGAAAACAATTTAATAAGAAACGTTTTTTTGGAATGGTGATACATTCAAGTAGTTATTCTCCATTATTTTACATTTTGTAATGTATTATTAATTTTTTAACTCACAATTTATCCAACAATAAAATTAGATCAGTAATTTATGGTTGAAGGTTGAGAATGCCACCACTCACTTGTTGGCTTTCATTCATTAATTCATTCGCCTAAGCTCAAGATCCTGTAAAAAAGCTTGGACATATCAAATATTTATATGTGATTTGTAAAACATAAAAATAAGAGAAGTATTACTATTACTTTATTATTAATTTGTCAATTGTATATAAAATTACTTATTAATTATTCTGAAATAGTAAAATATAGATCATGGAAAAAGTAAAAATATCATTAAACTTGGACAACTACAATGCTTGGCTGTTTCTGCTAAAGGGTATAAATATAAATAATTATCAACAGATCAATGTAATATATCTATTATATCTGTTTTCTAATGACAAATTGTAATAACAAATGGTCACATATCTGAATAAATTATATTTGTTGCTATATTAAATGTATTAAAAGTGTTGAATGTTAAATCATGGTTGCGCCGTATTTTTGTTTCAATGATCGACACATTTTGCCATCCATTTCTATCTGACATACTGTGTAACTGAACTCTACCCTTAATATTAAGTGAATTTGCAGATCTAATAAGGTTTAAATCTTGATATATACAGATTTTCAAATGCTTCCTTTGCATTTTTTATGCAATCTCTAAAAAATTAACAAATAAACTCAGCAACAATCTTTAACAAAAAATTAAAAATATACAATGATTAATACCTATAATATTAACGCTCCTTCGTTGCCCATGTAATATGATTGTTCCATTCTCTAACCTTCATTTCCTTTTCTTCTTCCATCCAACAATTTGCATTGAACCTATGTTCTTTGCAAACATGACATAAATCACTTTTTGGAGTAAGAAATTTCATTTCTGGAAGATATGTATGCCATATTCTTTGAAATGTTCTATTTGAAACATACATTTCAGAATTTTCTTCTATTGCATCAATAAAATATTTAAATACAGTAGTATGATTTTCATTTGCTGGAAGAAATATAATAGGCTTTGTGTCTTTTTTAAATTTTCTTCCAAAAATAAATTTAGATTAATTAATAAAAATTTCATTTTCAATTTCAAATACAGTGTGTGAAAAAAGTAATGAGAATGATGTTTTTATTCATTTCACAACAAGAAAAGGTTATAAGTGCATAAAATTTACAAATTTACTCTTTGTGATATGACAAATAAGTTCACTTAAGGCTACTCAATAGTTTATCCTATTAACATTACCCGCAATCACATCCTCCAATCTTCTTGACATACTACAAACTAAATTAACAAAAATTTCAGTTTCAATTCCTTCCCATTCTTTCTGAATTATCTCACGAAAACAATCTGTAGTAACTGGGTTTTTTTTAACCAATAATTTGTTGATTTCTCTCTCTACACAACCCTTTAAAATTGCCCATAAATTTTCAATTGGGTTAATATCTGGACTATTGGATGGCCAATCCATTATCTTTGGACATTGTTGCACGAGAAGTTTCATAGTTTCCTTAGCTTTATGCTTCGGATCATTATCCTGCTGGAACATCCCATAATGGTATTTGCATTATCAAAGAGATTTTCAATTAAAATCTTACGGTAAAGGGCACTGTTCATAATATCCGTAAAAAGAAAGAAGCCAATTGGTCCTTTTACTGAAAAGGCACCCCATGCGTGAATTTTATATGGATGTTTTACCATATCTTTACTTGGAGGCTGTATACCGATCTTGTAAAACACTTTTTGAGCATTTTGGAACATCTGGAATGTAGTTTCGTCAGAAAAAATAACCTTGTTCCAGTTTTGTTTCCTGTATTTTACAGCAAATGCTACTCGATTTTGTTTGTGACTGGTTGTAAGAAGAGGGATAGATTTGGGAACAGTACTGTGATATTGCATGTTATGAAGTTCATTGAGCACTGTCCGATTACTGACATTTAGGTCATGATTATGGGCGTTTAAAATATTTGCAAGTTCAGTGCTTGTAGAAAATTTGCTTACTGAGGTTGTTTAGGAGAAAGTTTCTTTGGCTTGCCAGATCAGGGTAGAGGATTCAAAGGAATATCATATTTGAGGTTTTTTTATGTATTTGTATATAGTAGAAAGTGGAATAGAAGTCAAATCATGTAAAGTGTCAGCATCACGAGTTCCAGCCTCCCACAAAGAGGTTATAACCATATAACATTGTTTTAATGAAGTTTCAGTCATGATGTATTGAAGATAAAATTGGAAAATACATACAAAAAATCAAAACAAAACATAATCACATTATCTAATAATATTCAACTAGTTTATCACAATCAGTAAAAATATCTTCCACTTTGCTCATTAGTTCTTCGTTATTATTAAGCTTGGCTTCTAGTTCATGGTAAATAACTTCTTTTTTTTGGCGTTGATTTTTGAAAGAAAGCTTTCTTTTTTGGGCTTCGGTGAACTCTAAGTGGGCTTTTACTAGTTTTTTTAGTAATTCTTGCTTGTTAAACCTGTGATACAACCGGTTTCTTTAACTAGTTGAATATGGCGAAGAAAATCGGGTTTTATTACAGTGTATTTTATTCTCATTACTTTTTTCACACACTGTAATTTATATTTACCTGGAGATGGGAGTCCATTTATATTAGAATAATTTAATAATCTACAAAACTACATCAAATGATATTGCTTTATTATCTACTCTTCCTGTTAAAGAATGTGTTCTTGGTTGTATATCAAAATCATTAAAATGACTTCTAATATTTTCCATCTTTTTTTACCTATGCCATAGATACCTGTGAATGCAATACTACAAACCTCAATCCCTCCAAAAAAATAAATGTTGCCAATTTCCTCTTTTTTTCTCCTTTAGCAGTTATTTCATTTCTCAAACTGGCAGAAAGAACATCTTTTAAAAAAATATCTTGTTCAGTTTTTTTTAAATCAAGAAAGCATTTATATCTAGTTTTAACATCATTAAAAATTTAAATTCATTTTCAAGCATTCTTTTTGACAGCAAACTTGTTCTAGTAAATTTGTTATATAATGGTTGATATCATTATCTATTTATATTTGCTCTTCATTGTCAATAATTTGGTCATCAATTATTTTATTTTTATTATAAATATTTTTGAATTTTTCTAATTGTTCTTTAGACAAAGTTTCTGTTTCAAAATCATTACCTTCTTCTCCATAACTTTCTTCCACTTCATCATGCCTTTCTTCTGCTTCATTAAATATTTCTTCATTTTTGTTGATAATTGAATTAGGCATATAACCTATTCTCAAATTAGCAAAGGATTCTTCCAAGTCAATTAAGCTGGGATGTGTTTCAGTAAAAACATTGTTAAAAAATAAATGTGTAGAAGTCATTTTTTATATATTTAATTCCCCGTTTCACTATGTGTCACCAATCAGGATTTTCGTGTAATAAATTCAAAAAATAAAAAATTCCGATATGTATGTACGCGTTATAATGAATTTATACATAATCATAAAATAATTTATTTAATATATTGGAAGAGGAATATTGAGAATGAGTATTTAGAATATTTATTTAATATATTGTGTATTAACATTAGTACATTGCGCATGAATTTACACACATAATGTCAAATAGAATCGCCATTTATTTATAAAATATACAATACAGCATTGATGAATGTATAAACACATTATTACAAAGCATTGTTATAATTTATATTGACATTTATTATCACCTTTTATGATGATATTTGGCATAGAATCATCATCATTTAAATTTTCTTCAATAAATAACTCATCACTACCCGACTTTTTTTTGGTTGGAAGTTTGAAAGGTTTCTTTGAAACATCATTATTTATTTTTTCACTAATTTTTGAACCTAAGATTTTCCTTATAGATGGGTGATTATCGATTTCTTTTAAAGGTTCGCCTTGATTGTTTGAAAAAAATTTTTAATTAAATAAAAAAGTTACAAATGATAATAAATAAATTATGAACCAACACGAATAGAATATAAGTTACTATTTTTTAGGTAGTACCTTGTCTCAATGCAAGTTGGATCTTGGTGTTCATCCCCTTCTTTCCGTGTTTATATTTACAAAAAAATTTTTTTTTTATTGTTATAAAATATATAAACACATAAATAGAACTGTTTTCCTTAGTACCTCGACACTATATAAATCAAATTGGTGATCCATTTTTTGGAATTGAAGAAATTGAAAATATGCTTTTATTTTTTATTATTACACGAAAATCCTGATTGGTGACACTGTGAATCGAGGATTTACACAGTAATTACCCGAAAATCCGAAATCACACGAAATTTCCCCTAGCGGGGAAATTTGTGTAATTCCTGGATCTTTGGGCAATTACTGATACTTATAGCCTGTGACATACAAAATTTTTTCATTATTAATAATTAATAATGCAAAAAAATAAAGTAAGTTTACAATATATATACAATATCGTTATATATTATTTTACAATTCTTATTCAATAACAAATTGATAATAGGGTAATGTGTCTCAAGATAAACTTGACATTTCAAAAGTAATTTTTGGCGCAGGAGTTTTCAGTATCAGGTATAATCCTATTAAGGAAGTACGGCCTTTGGAGTCGGTGCATAAAGCATTAAAGCTAGGTAACTTCATATATATGCACACATACACACACAAATGCATGTATAGACTCAATTAAACATTATCTGCTATATATACATGCATACATAGGTATAAATGGATTTGATACAAGCCCGTATTATGGAAATAGTGAAGAAATTCTTGGTAATGCACTAGAGTCATTAAGATCAGAATTTCCTAGATCAACATATTATATATTTACAAAGGCTGGTCGATATGGTCATGATAAAAAAGATTTTGATTATTCTGCTAAACATGTGAGAGAGTGTGTTAGAGAAAGTTGTAGATGTTTAAAAACTGATTATTTGGATATTGTTTTTGCACATGATGTTGAATTTGTTGAGTTAGAGAAAGTTATCGAAGATGGTGGTATTTTACCTGAGTTGTTTAAGTTAAAAGTAAGAATTTTTTTATGTTATAATAATTATGATAATGATAGTAATGCAATGATGATTACATAATTATGATAGTAATTGTAATATTGACATGAATGATTGTGATTATTATTATTATATAGGAAGAAGGAATCATCAAATATGTCGGAATAAGTGGTAAATCAAAATCATATATATGTATATATATGTGAGTGTGTTTGTTTATTTATTTATTTAAAATCATTAATTTTTTAGGTTATTCATTAGATATACTTTTTAATATTTCTAGAATACAATATGAAAAAAAAACAACCAATAGATGTTGTATGAGTTATTCTCATTATTGTCTTCACAACACACAATTAAAAGATTACATTGAAAAGTTTAAAAATTCAGTTAATGTAAAATATGTATTAAATGCTTCACCACTTAGTATGGGTCTTTTATGTGAAATTGATCCTCCAGAATGGCATCCTGCATCTGAGGAATTACGTGAAATTCTCAAACAATGTACAAAGATTGCCAAGGATAACAATCTCAATATGGTGCGAATCATCTAAAGACATCACGTGCTGCTCCACTTACCGAAAATTTTTATGTTGATCTTGCTTTATAAAGAATCCAATAAATCCAAATTTGTAAAAGATCTGTGACTTTGTCACGTGAATAATTGGTAAAATTGTGAAAATAATCTGTAAATTGCAGTTTAGATATATAGTTGCCGAAATTTTAAATAAATAGCAAAGTTACCCAACTTTAAACCATTATAACTTTTTTTTAAATTAAATAACTCAAAAAAAACTTTCTATTACATTATTTTTCATGTCTAGAATATTGCAAAAATAGAGAGTTTTTGGTAAAATAGGCCATATTTAATAAAGTATCAGTACTTAAAGATTAGCAACATTTGATGATGTCTTTAGATGATTGCCACTATATTCAATGTATTAATATTCATTTTGTCTCTCAATTTGTTTTTTATCAACTTCATTTCTGAAAATATTCTTTCTACATGTGCATTAGAAGTATAAGGAGTGTTATTTTAATAATAATTGTTGAATTTGGGTAATTGAAAGAAGATATTGCTTAGTATTTCTTAGTATATATAAGAAATTGTTTAATAGTTTTGAGAGTAAAGCATAAATACATTCATGGAAATTGTTATTATGATTTAGTATAAATAAATCAGAAGAAATTGGATTAACATTGTTGGCATATCATCATAAATAAAATCTAGAGACATGGTAAAAAATCAATAATAAATAAAAGTATTTTTGCATTCAAAAAAATAGATTATAACTGAAATCATCAATGATTTATCATTGATAAAAAAGCAAAGTATGTATACCTGAAGACATCAGCAATTTATTATAAATATAAATATACTTTGTTGCACGGATTTTTCTGCACAACAAATTATTGGCTGCCAACACTGGTCACATGACGAATTTTAAATTCTAGGATTGGGTTTCCAATACCAATTAAAATAATTAATTAAAAAATTTTTTTTTTATAATAAATGTCATTTGCAAAAAATTTCATTCGACCCAAATTTACATTAACAACTACTACATTACCTCTTGAAATTTTAAAATTTCAAACTTTCAGTAATAAAAATTTTCAAAGAGGTTAAGTATCCCGATTAATAAAAAATTGACAAAAGCAATAATAAATTTAAAATTGTTTAATTGACAATTAAATTGTTGTAGGGGAACTTAGTAATAGTTTTATACAAAAAAGATGGGCAACAAAAAAGGCAGGTGGTTCAACACATAATGGACGTGATTCTGCTGGGAGAAGATTAGGAGTAAAGAAATTTGGTGGTAAGTTTCTATTATATATTATATATATATATATATATATAATATATTTGTTTATTAAAGATACTTGATGAAATTATATAAATAGATGAATATGTTGAAATTGGAAACATAATTGTAAGACAGAGAGGAACTCGATTTCATCCAGGAGAAAATGTAATGTTGATTGATTGATTGATTGATTGATTTGTTGGTGGAATGATTATAAATAATAATTGTTTTCATATTTGTTATAAAGGTAAAATGTGGAAAAGATGATACATTATATGCGATACAATCAGGATTTGTACGATTTTATAGGGATCCCAAAAAACCAAAAAAAAGATTAGTAGGGATAGTTTTTGATCGTAATGATAAATTACCTAGATTACCGACTGAGCCAAGATCACGTAAATTTGAGTTTATTGATTTAGTGTCATATAGGAATGAGTTGAAATTATCAAGAGAAAAGGCGGCATCAAAAAAACTTGAAAATTAATAAAATAAGAAATGACATCTGATTACTGGCATATGCAACTAACATACTAAATTATGAGAATAATATAATGAAATTTATCTTTTAGCTTGACCATCTCATTGATTGCAAATTCCAATTTCTTTGATTCTTTAGTATTGGTAGTGTTTCTACAAATATTTGCTAGTTATTTTTGTAACTCACGCGAGATTATAAATAGGTCAGTGATACAAGTATCTTTTAATTGGAAGAATTTAAGTTTGACAATTTTTAAAATCTCAATAGACAATGCATATTTTCTTACCTGTGTTTTAATTTTACATGTGATTTAAACCAACAATCGTCCCATTTTAATTCTCAAGCCACCCAAGTATGTGTAACTTGGATGATTTTATAACAGTAAATAGCATTTCTAAAATTTTCAATTAAAATGGCTTCCACATTTATTACTGCTAATAACACACCTAGAAAACTTAATGTGAATTTACCAAGATATCCTTATAGATTGCTTGATGAAGCAACCAGGAGGGAAAAGGAAGCACTTGCACAAAAACATGAAGATGAAGAGGTGGAATATATATATATATATAATTGCTTTTTATCATGTAATAAGATAAAACCTTTAAAGATACCAAATTTTATATTTTTTGATATTTTTTAGGCTAGAAATAATAATAAGCCAGATATGATTACAAAATTAGATATATTTAAAACAGACTCATTTTTGAATGATGATAAAGCCATCATTGTAAATTATCCATTTTTGAAGAACAGACATGAAGATGATAACGTCCTAAAACATTTTTTCAATGAGTGTAGAGATGTATTTATTGAATATATATATATATATATTTATTTTTTTTTGATATTGGGGAATTTTTGGTGATAAATATTTTTCATGATTAGCAATAATAATAATAATATGCTAATTTGTAATTTGTTTATTACTATACAAATACTAAAATTATATAAAAGGGGTACGCAACTATTCCTCAAGTAGTCATTGATTCCCTTGAAAGAATGCTTGGAGATATTTCAGGACTTCCACGCACTGTTAATTTTTTATCATTGCCACCACCACCACCACCATCATCATCATCATCAAGTCAAAATTATGAGAATATAGAGATTGGTAATGGAATCCTAGAAAAAAAAGAAAGCGATAACAATCATAAAAATGATTCTGATATTATTCCTTATAGCCTGAATGGATTTTCAAATAGTTCAAAAAAAATCATGAAATCAGATATCAAGAATATGAGCAAAGAAAAGGTGATTCTTATAATTTCACATAAAAATTAATTTGCTGTTTGTTATTTTACTCATTAATTATTAATTATTAATTATTAATCACAATTCCTATTTTTCATTTCTTAGACAAATGCTGGCTTTGGACCAATTCATGGTGAAGCAAGGCAAAAAATTATTGATAACCCAAACAATAATAAAGAATTTGACAAACTTGATGATATTTTATCACTACTTCAAGAATTACGGAATAATGACCATAACATCCATGAGATTATGACACAATCACAAACTTTTCAAAGACACATAGAAAAGTTAGAGTCAGAACTTAAACAAACAAATGCTCAATTGAACACTGAAACAAAAAAGCATTCTGATGAAACACATAGCTTTAAATTAAAAGAAAGTCAACTTCGATCTGAGATAACTGCACTAAAAAATGGTTCATTACAGCAAGAAAACAAAATTAATCTTGCACATAGTCAATTGAAATCGCTTGAAAAACAAAATCAATCATTTATCCAAGAAAATGATAAACTGAAACAATCAGAAAGAAATCTGGAAATTAAAATTTGTAAGATTGATGCTGATTTGGCAAGCGCAAGAACAAAAATCTCTGAACTTGAGCATGAAAATCAACATAAGCTTGCTGAAAATGATAATTCATGGGAGAACAAAGAAAATTCTTTAAAATCAGAGCTTTATGCAACTGAACGATCATTGAAAGAGCTCAAAGCATATCAAGAACAATTGAAAGCTGGTGCATCAATTGATCAAATAATAAAAGATCGTCAAGGAGAGCTTGAAAAGCAGTTGAAAGATCTTACTGCAAAGAGTCGTGAGTCGAAAAATTCAAATGAAGGATTAAAAATTCAAGAATCAGCTCAGTCAAAAAGTAAAAATCAGGAGTTGGACAATATTCAATTACGTAGGAGGATTCAAGACCTTGAGAAAAGGTTGTCTGAAGCTCAATCAAGCAGAAATGCAGAAAATGAGTTAATCAATAAAGAACTCAGTGTTCTTCGAGCAGAAAACAGTCGTCTCAAGACTGAAACAAAAGAATCTTCAGAAATCCATAGAAAGAATCAAAGCCTCGAAGAACAAACTGCTGAACTTTCAAAGTTAAGACCTCATATTAAAAGTTTGGAAAAGCATGTTGCAGAACTTGAGAGAGTCTGCCAACACATGAGTGAATCAGAATCTCATGCTGTTGATTTACTTGAACGAAATAAAGACTTGGAGAATCAAGTAGCCGAGCTTAGTGTGCTCCGTAAACGTTTAAGAGATTCAGATAATCAAATAAATGAATTGCGTAGTATTCAAAAACGGATCACTGAGCTAGAAACTGTACAAACTGAATATGATATGCAAAAGTTAGATTTTGACAAAATGCTTCAAGAAAACAAAGTTCTTAAGCAAGAGAATGTTTCCAAATCAGAAGAGCTGAAGCAATATTATCAAAATATGATGGCAGAGCTTGAACAAGCTAATTATGAAATATCCAATTTGAAATCACAAGTCCTTGAAATTGAAAAAGAAAATAAAAATTTGATGGCAGAAAAAAATCAATTACAAAATTACGTAAATTCATCTCTTGACTTACCAAGAGCATCAAACATGGATGATAACTATTCTGCTGCCACAATTACAAATTATGAAATTCGTGGAAGAGGAACATCTGAAATTCCTCACATGCAAGCAACAAATAATGATTGTTATTATTATAATAATAATCATAATGGTTTTAACAATAATGCCAATATTGGCATAAATCCTTCATCAACACAATATCAACAACAACAACCAAAACTATCATATCAAATGAACCTACAATCTACTGAAAATCCAAATCCACAACCATTTATTCAAAATCAATCAACAGTTCAACCACAATTCTCTCAAAATCAAGATGAACCACAAACTCAATATATTCCGCAAATACAATCAGTGCAATCAGAATTACAAGCACAAGTGCATTATGATTCCAACTCTTTAACATCAACGAATCAATGCATGTCAACTTTTGATCAAACTCATTCAATTCAAACTAATCAATACAATCCTAATCCTTTGACATCAATGAGTCACTCTACATCAACCCTTGATCATCAGAATCAATCACTTCAAATTAATCAGTATCCTCATAATATTTATGCTCCTTTGACGTCAACCCTTGTTCACAATCAATCAATCCAATATCCTCACACTGATCCTAATCCTTTAATGCCAATGAACCAATATACGCCAACCCTTGATCAAAATCAATCAATGCAAACTAATCCTTCAGTATCAATGAATCAACCTACATCAATTCATGATCAAAATCAATCAATTATTCAACCAATCCAATATCCTCATAATAATTATAACCTTATGAATCAATTTACACCAACCCAAAATCAAAATCAATATTCTCACACTGATCCTAATCATCTATCCATGTCAACCCATGATCAAAACCAAACTAATCAATATTCTCACACTGACCCTAATTCTTTAACATCAATGAATCAATCCACATCAACATTTGATCAAAGCCAAAATCAATCTATTCAATCAAATCATTATTCCAACAAGCCAAAAAATTTTGCTACAGCAAATAACAAAAGTTACAAGAAAGGAAATCAAAATCATAATAACACAAGGAATTCAAGAAACCCCAATTTGAATAATAGATATCAAAAGCACAAAAAAGTAAATAACAGGACTGACCACCAAAGCATTCTCGATCAAAATCAAGCAAAAATAACAACAATAAATAAACAAAATAATAATGACAACGACTCAAATCAAAATAAATCTACAATTGAAATTGAGCCTGAAGTAAAATTAACCACCGAATCTTGGTGGAAGAATGAAAAAGACAATTAAGTTTTTTTTTTGTTTTTATTGTTTTATTTATAAACAAAATTATTACTATATTGTTCTATTATCTTTTTCTTTTTCTGTTTTTTTTTTTTTTTCCTTTCATCTAATCAATCATAAACTACAAATAAAAAAATAAAAAAATATTTATTAGATAAATTGACTAATTAATTAAACATGCAAACTTTTTTTTTAAAAAAAATATTTGTTACCATGAACAATTCCATAAAGTAAAGTCCAAAACAATACATATGAAAACAAGCCTCCGGATATTCCTTCGGTCCAAACATCAGCTCCGTTACGAAAATATAAATTGGGTTTTCCCTTTGTTTTCATAGACCATATTAGAAAAGATGAAAACAAAGATGCTATTGCATAAAATATAAAACCACTATAACTAGTCAAGCCAAGTATTCCAACCGCTGATCCTGTAATTGCTGACATTGACGAGCGAATAAAAGTTATGGTTTTCATATTATGAACTATATTTTCTGAAACATATAACGAAGCTTGATTTTGTGGAGATTGTTGATTAGACATTTTTGATATTATTGATTTTTAACAATGCAATTATTAAAATTATTTAAGTTGGTTTCCTACTTTGTAGATCTTTTACAATTAGTATTAGTATTAAATCACACGAAACAGAGTTTTTCCGAAAAAAAAAAAAAAAAAAAACAAAAGCGAATTGATCGATATTTTTAAAAATAAAATATTTGACCTTTCATTTGCTAAAATAGATAATAAATAAATAAAAGTAAGTGGTTAATTTTTTTTTAAATAGTCTGCTTATACTTTCTAACTTTTTAAAAATTTTAATTATTTAAAGAGTTCTTTTGAAAGTTACTTATATTGCCAAACTTTTCTTTAATAAGATGACTGATAATTGGGGATCTCCTCCTCCTGTTCAA